GTTCTTCTTCTCCATGGCTCCAAATGGTGAAGGTGTCATCCACATATCTGAACCATATAGTGGGCTTCTTTGTTGCTGTCTCCAGGGCTTGTTTTTCAAAGTGTTCCATGTAGAAATTAGCTATGATCGGGCTGAGAGGACTCCCCATCGCTACTCCATCTTTCTGTTCGTAGAATTCATTGTCCCACTGAAAGTAGCTGGTGGTGAGGCAATGGTGAAACAGAGCTGTGATGTCTTCTAGGAACTTCTGGAGAGAAACGTCAGGAGGGAATACTTCTAGAATATGGCCATATAGCCCGAAAAAACCTACAACAACCCAGTGATTCCGGCCATGAAAGCCTTCGACAACACATTTTACCAAAGAATGTTGTAAAAGCTAAAATGGGGCTTTGTGGATGAAGTAGCTATTGCAAGACATTATCTGAAGCTACTCCTGGTGGCACAATGGGCTAAACCCTTGTGCCGGCAGGACTGCTGACTGACAGATCAGCAGTTCAAATCTGGGAGAGTGGGTCAAGCTCCCTCTGCAGGCACATGAGAGAAGCCTCCCTCAAGGATGGTAAAACATCAAACATCCAGGCATCCCCTGGGCAACGTTCTTGCAGACGGCCAATTCTCTCACACCAGAAGCAACTTGCAGTTTCTCAAGTTGCTCCTGACATAAAATAAATAAATAAATCTGAAGCTACAATATGATTGACATTTAATTGTCCTCCTTTTATGTGGATTTCGTGTTGTGGGGAAGTGGTCACTCCAGCACCCCTGGGATAATCTGGGTATTAGCCTTTGTGGGGCCTTCTTGAACAACCACAGCATTTGTCATTGATTGTGTAAGAAAAAGCAGGGTGTGGAAGATAGCAGACTCAAATCCAGGCTGAGTATGCACAATCCTGGCCAATAGCAAACAAAGAAAAAAAGTAGCACGACAACAAATGTGTTGAACAATAACTGAATTAAAACAAAGAACAAACCCTCTCTGGCAGTATGCACACTTGAAACACCAAACAAAGGAAAAGCGGAGAGAAAAAAGGGAAGAGAAAGAGGGAGAGGCAAGGGTTAGAAATCAAAGCTTGGGTGTGTGGATGTATTTTTTTTAAGAACATTTAAAAATAAGGTGCAGAGGAATTTGTATGGAGGATCAGAAAGTAGAAATCAGATAGCAAAAGAAAATGAGTGGAGGAGATGTATATAAAAGTTCAGTTCAGTGGCAAATAGTGGTGGGTGGGTGTGAACAGGAACATAAAGAGAAAGCAGTGCGGACGAGATGATGATGATGATAATTATTATCTTTATTTATAGCTAGCTTTTTCTTTCCACCAGGAGAGATGAGAGAGAACCAAAACATGATGATTATTAACAGATCTTTTGTATTAGTAAAGGAAGAAATGTGAATTTGTTGTAGGTTTTTTCGGGCTATATGGCCATGTTCTAGAGGCATTCTCTCCTGACCAGGCCCGTAGCCAGGATTTCGTTTCGGGGGGGGGGGGGCTGAATTTTTTTTCAGGGGGGGTTTTGGGGGGGGGTGGGCTGAGTCTGATTGAAAGAGGGTCTAGCCTAGCAAACCTTTTGTATCATTACCCCAATACCCCCATGCATATGGGATATATTGAGTATGGTGATCAGATCATGATATGAATAAACATAACAGTTTAAATAATGCACCAGTAAGGCCTTTCGCGGACCTCAGCCCCCCCCCCCCCCCAGCTACATCCCTTTTGGTTTTCACATGCATCTATGGCAAGCACTCACTACTTCTGAGGATGCTTGCCATAGATGCAGGCAAAATCAGGAGAGAATGCCTCTAGAACATGGCCATATAGCCCGAAAAAACCTACAACACCCAGTGATTCCGGCCATGAAAGCCTTTGACAATATAATGTGAATATGACCTATAAAACCCTATATGGCTCTGGTCCAATGTATCTGTCAGAACGTATCTCCTTCTACGTCCCATCTCGGAGTTTAAGATCTTCTGGGGAGGCCCTGCTCTTGGACCCACCTCTGTCTCAACCATGCTTGGCGTGGACAAGGGATAGGGCCTTCTCGGTGGTGCCCCCCCTGCCTGTGGAACTCACTCTCTGGGGAAATTAGGCCATCTTCATCCCTTCTCACCTATAGGAAAAAAATTAAAAATGTGGATGTGGGACCAGGCCTTCGGGTAATTAAGTGGACAATGACAATAACAATGTTGACAATGGCTTGGAAATGGATTATGGATAAGTTTGATGGAGCATTCAACCACAGTTTTTGGCTAATAATGGCCACCAGAGTGGTAATTCTTAGTAGATTTTAATTGTATTGTTTTAATGTTTTTAACTATTTATAATTGATTGATTTTTTTTATGTATATATTGAGGCATCAAATTGCTGCCGATTGGAAGCCGTCCTGAATCCCCCTCAGTGGGTTGAGAAGGGCGGGGTACAAATATTTGAAATAAATGAATGAATAAATAAACAAAAACAAAAAAGTCTTAAAGTTGAAAGAGACCCCAAGGGCCATACAGTCCAATGCTATTTTGCCAAACTTGTTATACAGCAGTGGTTCTCAACCTGAGGTCCCCAGATGTTTTTGGCCTACAACTCCCAGAAATCTCATCCAGTTTACCAGCTGTTAGGATTTCTGGGAATTGAAGACCAAACACATCTGGGGACCCAGGTTGAGAACTACTGTTATACAGGAACATCTGGAGGATCCCAAGATCTCTAACTCTGGAATTTGCAGTACAAGAACAGATGTAGGTCTTACTGAATGTTAAAAGATGCTGCTTTATGGAGTCTAACCAACTTCATCAGTTGCATGCTTTTTAGACTTTCAAGTGTCACAAGACTTCTTGTTTTGCTGCTATAGATAAAAATAGTTGCCTTGCCTCTTTGACATTTTTGCAGTACAGAAAATCCCACTCTCCATACAGAAAGTGACTACTTGGATGTTTCATTTTAAAGTGGGGAAGCTTAATAAAATGTATCTTCTTGTTTACAGGTAGTTTGGTATTCATCCTACCAGATTGCTTGTGCAGTTTCCCAGTGTAATCACGCCAAATATAGCTACTTCTACGTTTGCCAGTACTGCCCTGCGTATGTATAACAGACATTGTTCATTTGATACAGTTTCTAAATTCCTGGAGTAATGTTTAACATGTCATCCGAATTTGTAGTTCTGAGTTAGGAAAAGACAATACTGAAATAGCAGGATCCTGTTTTGGGATAAAAGGAGAAAGAGTGAAAAAATTGAAGAAAGAGTGAAAAAATTGCTGTTTAACTTCACCAAAGACTGTTTAGTCCCCCAGAAATTTATTCTTAAGAAATAAAATTGCTATCAAATGAATTGATTTTAATTTTCTGATAAGACATTATTTTTTAAAAATAATAATCTTTAGTAAGGATTTTGCTTAAAAGACAAAGTGAAATCTATCTATATAAATAAAAATGTAATATTTGTTGGTGGGATTAACATAACTCAGAAAACTGGATGAATTGACACCAAATTTTGACACAATACACCTAACAGTCCAACGAATGTTCATCACCCCTAAAAATACTAAAAAAAAAAAACCAAAACCCAGCAGAACAGACTTAAAACCCCCCAAAATACACCATACACATATACTCATACATAGGCACATATACCCAAGCACACACAAATATATACACACAAACATCTACATACACATGCACACACAAATATACACATGCACACATACATACACACGTATATAAACACAAATATGTATATAGCCAAGCACACACATATACACAATATACATATACACATATAAACACACAAATATATACACACTAGGGCTGGGTAAACACGGAAAAATTTGTTTCTAAACTCGACTCATTTCCAGGGAGTGCTAGCGTTTCCAAATTCTAAATACTTCTGAAATTTTGAGATTTCAAAGTTTCGTTATTTACGAAATTTCATTAATTTCGAATCGATTCGTTAATGGCGGACACGATTGTGCAATATGCTAAAAAAAGCTCCAAATAGGACAGGGGGAACTTCTGAAGCTTCCCTCTCCCTCTGTTGTTGACTGTTGGTGTGATAAAACAAACAACAACTATAAAACTTGCACCAGACATGCGAAAATAATTACGAAATAATTACGAAAAAATTACGAAATAATTTTGAAATAATAACAAAATAATTACGAAATAAATTGAAAACATTGTTTCGAATCTAATTTACTCCTCACACTATTCCAAAATGGCTCAATATCGGATCGTAAGCTAATTTAAGATAGCTTAAATTAAGATATAATTTAAATACGAATTAATAACGAATTACGAAATTAACGAATGAAACCTCCCAGCCCTAATACACACATATGCACACATCTACACACACATATGCACACATATATACACCCACATATATACACAGATATGCAAATACACACACACACACACACACAAAACACATATATACAGACTGGGCCACAGCAACGCGTGGCAGAGGATGGCTAGTATATATATAAAATCTGATAAGAAATTATTGAAGTTCCTATAAAGAGTGCTTTCATCTAAGGTCCCATCTATTCTGCCATATAATGTATTATGACTTAGTTTAGAGTCATATAATGCAGTTCAGTTAAGACTGTATTATATGAGTTTGAACCTACATTATATGGCAGTGTAGATGGACCTAAGAGAAGGCAGCAAAGGTCATAATCTTTGCTAGCTTTCTAGCGGTCAGGCATAGACACCTGACCCATTTCAACAACCCTCATCAGATGGATGAATGGATAGAAATCTTTCTGCTTTCAAACTAATGTACATGATGAACCACTAATCCCAGCCTTATACTACACTGTTAGTCCCATCCCTGTACTTTATTATAGGAGGCTGAGCCCAGCAACAACCTGGTGTGCTTAGTTAGCTACTGTGATCTTTAGAGGAGACCTTCTACTGATTCTTTTACTTTCAGAGAGATGAATGGGAAAGGAAGGTTTTCTTGGAGGAATTGCTTAATTGCTAGACAGGTCTTAGACTTCTACTTGTGACCCCTTTCTGTCTGAGATGATTTCATGTGACCCCAGATATATAGATCTATAATATAGGTATACAAATAAAACATGTACTGATCAGCCAGTGTCCAACCTTCAATTTCTGAGCAAGGTTCTGGAGTGTGTGGTGGCCTCCCAACTCCAGGGATTTCTGGATGAAACAGATCACCTAGATCCATTTCAATTTGGTTACAGATTGAAATGTTGTAGTAACTCCCTGTTGTAGTAGCCCCCTGTTGTAGTAGCTCCACTGGCTGCCAGTCTGTTACCGGGCACAATTCAAAGTGCTAGTTATGACTTTAAAAACATAGACGGTTCAGGTCCAGTTTATTTGGCCAACTGCATCCTCTTGTATGAACCTACCCAAGCCCCGAGATCTTCAGGAGAGGCCCTTCTCTTGGTCCTACCTTCATCTCAAGCTCGGGTGGTGGGAACAGAGTGGTCTTCCTATTCGGTGGCTGCCCTTTGACTGTGTAATGCCCTTCTTCCCAGGGAAGCCAGAATGGCCCCCTCCCTGTTGTCCTTCCAGTGGCTGAGATCTTCAGGAGGCACCATTCTTTTGGTCCGACCTTCATCTCAAGCTCGGTTGGCGGGAACAGAGAGCTGGCCTTCCTTTTCAGTGGCTGCCCTTTGGCTCTGGAACTCCCTTCTTCCCAGGGAAGCCAGAATGGCCCCCTCCCTGTTGTCCTGCCATCAGCTGAGATCTTTAAGAGAGGCCCTTCTCTTAGTCCTGCCTTCATCTCAAGCTCGGTTGGTGGGAACAGAGAGCTGGCCTTCCTTTTTGGTGGCATTTCCTTGACCCTGGAATGCCCTTCTTTCCAGGGAAGCCAGAATGGCCCCCTCCCTGTTGTCCTTCCATCAGCTGAGATCTTCAAGAGAGGCCCTTCTCTTGGTCCTACCTTCATCTCAAGCTCAGGGGGTGGGAACAGAGAGCTGGCCTTCCTTTTCGTGGCATTTCCTTGACTCTGGAATGCCCTTCTTTCCAGGGAAGCCTCCTTCCTGTTGCCCTTCCAGAGGCATCCTAAAACCTTTGTATTCAGGCAGGCTTTTAAAGATGAGGTTTCTTAAGATTGATTCAGGGTGTGCTGTGGCTTTTAACTTTGAATTTGTTTTAATGATTTTAACTGGGAATTTTAAAATACCGTTTTCATTTAATCTTGCTTTAATGTTTGTATATTCGTATATTTTAAATGTTTATACTGATGCTTTTATGTCAAGCCGCTTTGAGTCCACTTTGGTGAAGATAAAGCGGGGTATAAAATATAATAATAATAATAACAACAACAATATTAATAACAACATTTTCTGCAACAATGTTTGAAATATAAAATGAATAGATGTGCTTTTGTAAGATTATATTATATATGCCAACATTATCTAATTAGAGCTGGCAAAATGAGGATGGCAGGATGTTCTCTGTTCTAATTACTTGGGAGGCAAAGTTTATGGATTTCTTAATGTGCCTCCAGTTTGAACTCATATCCTCCTAACATCTATGACTGGAAGTGGATTACCTTACTTTATGGATTACAAAATGGATTGCTTTGCCAGGAAGCTACACATTTAAGAAGAAATGGGGAAGTATTTTTGATGTTCTTTTTGTTCTTTCTTTGAAATTTCAGGGGAAATGTGCTAGGCATTAATTATTATCTCCCTTACAAAGAAGGAGAGAAATGTGGTGATTGCCCCAATGATTGTGACGATGGGCTGTGCAGTAAGTATAAATGGCCCCATTTAATTAATTATTTTGAGTATTCAGTTAGTGGACAGTATTCAGGAACAAGTATGGTTGTGCTGTCACGCACTGGGCCTATAGCAGTTGGCTTTTGAACAGGATGTGCTCTTTGTGCCCAGCAGGAAGCCGGGGTGCCTCTAGTGAGAGGCCCTAAGGATTTTCCTATACAGAGTCTTTAGAAGCTTGAAAGGTTTAACAAAGTCCTTTATTATTGCTTAAGTCTTCAACAAACAATCAAATACTTCTTAGATCTTCAACAAATTAAACAAATGCTTCAAGCCTTTGAATCAACTGGTGGGCACCTTGCTTGGAGAACTATTTGTTTCTTTAACAAGGAAAACCCTTTTTGACCCCTCCTGGGCAATCTGTTTTCTGGCTCTGCTGGTGTGGGCCCTACTCCTGGCTCCAATTGCTTCTGGTTACCCGAGTAGACCTACTAGTCAAGACCTTGTAGATTTTCCAGCTGGAGTCCTTTTGGATTTTCTCCACAAATGATGTGGATCTGTATCTTTAACCCCAACAAGGGTTGTGCTGTAAAACTGTTTTCCTTAGAAGCTTTAGGGCTGTTTTCCCCGGATGTTGTGAGAAACGAAGCTTCTCTACAGGTGGGGAAAGCTCACGTCCTGTAACTGGGCTTCCAAAACTGAAAGACAGCCTGAAGTCTTTCTTTTCCCTCCCAGAACCCCGGGGAAAGGGGTGGAATTAAAGAACATAATGATGATTGACGGGTCATTGGTCCTATAATTGCAGAGCAAGGGAAACCACCTTATTGCAAAATGCATGGAACCTTGGAATACATGCAAACACTCAATAGAAAGAAAATGAAGTAGGAGCTCTTGGTACAGCCGTACCAGCATAATGGTGATGGTTGTGTTGGTGCATGAAGAGCCTCTGATCACTAAAAACCACCATGCCAGACTAATCCGATCTCTTTTTTGAGAGCACTATGAGTTTTGTAGATGAAGAGAATGCTGTGGTAGGCATATCTTGATTTCAATAAGGCCTTTAGCAAAGCACCTTGTTATATTCTTGCCAAAAAATGCTAGTGAAATGTGGGCTAGACATTAGACAATGATACTGTTTAGTGGATTAATAATTGTTTGATGAACCTAACCCAAAAAGTGCCCATCAACGTCTCCTCTTCATCTTGGTGAGAGAGGTGATTAGCAGGGTGCCACAGGGTTCCATCCTGGACTCAGTGCTATTCAACATCTTTATTAATGATTTGGATGATAGATTAAAGGACATGTTTATCAAATTTGCATGTTGTTTGTTGTTCATTCGTTCAGTCGTTTCCGACTCTTTGTGACCTCATGGACCAGCCCATGCCAGAGCTCCCTGTCGGCCATTACCTCCCCCAGCTCCTTTAAAGTCAAGCCAGTCACTTTAAGGATGCCATCCATCCATCTTGCCCTTGGTCAGCCCCTCTTCCTTTTTCCTTCCATTTTCCCCAGCATCATTGAATTCTCTAAGCTTTCCTGTCTCCTCATGATGTGGCCAAAGTACTTCAACTTTGTCTCTAATATCCTTCCCTCCAATGAGCAGTCAGGTATTATTGCCTGAAGTATGCATTTACATATGAAATCAAATTAGGAGGTGCAGCTACTACCCTAGAGGACATGATCAGAATCCAAAATCATTTTAACAGATTTGAGAACTAGGCCAAAACTTTAAAAATGAATATCAACACAGGGAAATAGGTAACACCTTACTTGAAATCAGTATCTGACTTTAGCCTATAAAGTGCTGGCTTTAGCCTATAAAGCCCTAAATGGTTCCGGCCCAGCCTACCTATCCGAATGCATCTCTTCCTATGAACCCTCCAGGAACTTAAGATCATCTGAGGAGGCCCTGCTCTCGATCCCGTCTGCTTTGCAAGCACGCTTGGTGGGGATGAGGGACAGGGCCTTCTCTGTGGTGGCCCCTCAGCTGTGGAACTCCCTGCCTAGGGATATTAGATCAGCCCCCTCCCTCCTGACTTTTCGGAAGAAAGTAAAAACCTGGCTCTTCGAGCAAGCATTCGGAACCCCGGAATAGATAGTCAAGCTTGAGATGGAGAATGACCCAGGAACGGCCAAGACGATGAAACGGATGAGGATTGGAATGAGAGGATATAGCTCTTTTTAAATTGTTATTGCACTTCTTTTTGTCTAAATGCACTTAATTGTTTTTGCTGTTGTATTGTATTGATGGCATCAAATTGTGCCAATGTAGACCGCCCTGAGTCGCCTGCCGGCTGATATGGGCGGGATATAAGTGATATAAATAAATAAATAAATAAATAAATAAATATCTGTGAAAGGGATCTAGGAGTTTTAGTATTCTACAAACTGAACATGAATCGTCAAAGGCTTTCATGGCCACAATCACTGGGTTGCTGTGAGTTTTCCGGGCTGTATGGCCATGTTCCAGAAGCATTCTCTCCTGACATTTCACCCACATCTATGGCAGGCATCCTCAGAGGTTGAGGGGTCAACCTCTAAGGATCTCTGTTTTAGATGTGAGCAAAACATCAGAAGAAAATGCTTCTGGAACATGGCCACACAGGCTGGAAAACTCACAGCAACCCAGTGAACATGAACCAACAGTGATGTGGTGACTAAAAAGCCAATGTAGTTGTCAGAGGCGGCCCTAGGTAATTTTCAATGGTAAGCAAACAGTATTTGGCCCCCCCCCCCCCACCAATCACTGATATATATTTTCTGTTCGTCGTCGTGGGAGTTCTGTGTGCCATATTTGGTTCAATTCCATCATTGGTGGAGTTCAGAATGCTCTTTGATTGTAGGTGAACTATACATCCCAATAACTACAACTCGCATATGTCAAGGTCTATTTTCCCCCAAGAGCGCCTCAAGAGTGCCCCTGGGCAAAATCAACTATACTGCAAATGCTTACTTTGCGTAATGGGTGAGCCGCCCCTGTACAACCTTGAGCTAAAGGTTTGGGGTCCTTTTTGTTGTTCATTCGTTCAGTCGTCTCCGACTCTTCGTGACCTCATGGACCAGCCCACGCCAGAGCTCCCTGTCGGCCGTCACCACCCCCAGCTCCTTCAAGGTCAGTCCAGTCACTTCAAGGATGCCATCCATCCATCTTGCCCTTGGTCGGCCCCTCTTCCTTTTGCCTTCCACTTTCCCCAGCATAATTGTCTTCTCCAGGCTTTGCTGTCTCCTCATGATGTGGCCAAAGTACTTCAACTTTGTCTCTAGTATCCTTCCTTCCAGTGAGCAGCCGGGCTTTATTTCCTGGAGGATGGACTGGTTGGATCTTCTCGCAGTCCAAGGCACTCTCAGAACTTTCCTCCAACACTGCATAGTTCCTAGATCAAGGAAAATACTGTAGAAATATTATTCAAAAAGTCAACCAAAAAAACGTTGGGCTGACTTATTCACTGAAAACCCCCCCCAAAAAACAAAAACAAAAACAAAAAAAAACCTCCCAGAAATTTCAGCTATTTTACTAGCTGTCAGGATTTCTGGGAGTTGAAGACCAAAACATCTCCGGATCCATAGGTTGGTCTAGAATGTAATGAATGAGTAAATATTGTTACCATGTTTTTTTAAAAAAGGGAGCGGGGGGGGGGGGGGGGGGGGGGGGGGGGGGGGGGGGGGGGGGGGGGGGGGGGGGGGGGGGGGGGGGGGAAGGGGGGATCCCATAGGCCATTGGTGATCCAGCCAGGGATTATTTATGTTCTCATGTTAGCTTGGGACTTTTTGCATTAAATATATGCATTCTTTTTTTTATTTCAGCCAATCCTTGCCCTCATGAAGACATGCTCAGCAACTGTGCCAATCTAAAGAAGGCACATTCATGTGAACACCCAGTACTGAAAAAGAATTGCCTTGCATCCTGTTTCTGTGATTCTGAAATAAAGTAATATCAGGATTCTTCCTATAAATCTAATTCTTTTTAGAGCCCTATGAGCTTAGTAGATGAAATGAATGAAAACTGCAATATACTTGTAATGTTAATTACAGACTACAATAGGACTTGTATTAGTGTATGTTATTATTCTTTAATCTATCTTCTCTCTTTCTCTGAGAAGGCATGTTGTTACCTTTAGTCTGGTATGAAAAGCAGCTCCTGTTCTGGAATAGCTTATTAATTATCAGGCAATCGGAGGGACTTTCCTAAGAAATCAATGATATTATCCTATAGAATTATTCTGGGAGCTTCTTCAAGGTCTTTTACTTGGTAAAGAAAATAAATAATTCACTGTATCTGGAATTTTGTAATATACGTGGAAGTCTGAATAAATACATGAGCAATATTAATAGTTATAAAATTTTCATTTTATTAATATACTAATTATATACATATCAGTTCTAAATATGAACATCCTGTGGCTCCTCCATGATGACATGATGGCAACAGTTTTGGACAGCAATGGCTCCCAAAGTGACCCATTTAAAGTGGAATCCGGTGTCAAACAGGGATGTGTTATTGCCCCAACTTATTCTCCATCTTCATCGCTATGATACTTCACCTTGTTGATGGGAAGCTTCCCACCGGAGTGGAAATCATCTATCAGACAGATGGCAAGCTATTTAACCTCAGCAGACTGAAAGCCAAAACCAAGGTTACAACAACATCTATTATAGAACTCCAGTATGCTGATGACAACGTCGTCTGTGCGCATTCAGAAGAAGATCTACGGGCCACTCTGAATGCCTTCGCAGAAGCATACGAGAAGCTCGGCCTGTCGTTGAACATCAGGAAAACCAGGGTGCTGTTCTGGCAGACACCAACCAACCCCTCTCCAGTGCCAGCGATACAGCTTAATGGTGTAACACTGGAAAATGTTGATCATTTCCGCTGCCTTGACAGCCACCTCTCCACCAAAGTCAACATCGACACTGAAATACAACATTGCCTGAGCTCTGTGAGTGCAGCATTTTTCCAAATGAAGCAGAGAGTGTTTGAGGACCGGGACATCCATAGGGATACAAAGGTGCTTGTTTGTAGAGCTGTTGTCCTCCCAACCCTGCTATATGCCTGTGAGACATGTACTGTCTACAGACGTCACATGCAACTCCTGGAACGATTCCATCAGCGCTGCCTCCGGAAAATCCTGCAAATCTCTTGGGAAGACAGGCGGACAAACGTCAGCGTGCTGGAGGAAGCAAAGACCACCAGCATTGAAGCGATGGTCCTCCGCCATCAACTCTCCGCTGGACAGGCCACGTTGTCCGGATGCCCGACCACCATCTCCCAAAGCAGTTGCTCTACTCCGAACTCAAGAACGGAAAACGGAATGTTGGTGGACAGGAAAAGAGATTTAAAGATGGGCTCAAAGCCAACCTTAAAAACTCTGGCATAGACACTGAGAACTGGGAAGCCCTGGCCCTTGACCGCTCCAGCTGGAGGTCAGCTGTGACCAGCAGTGCTGCAGAATTTGAGGAGGCACGAATGGAGGGCGAAGGGAGAAACGTGCCAAGAGGAAGGCGTGTCAAGCCAACCCCGACCAGGACCGCCTTCCACCTGGAAACCAATGCCCTCACTGCGGAAGAAGATGCAGAGCAAGAATAGGGCTCCACAGCCACATACGGACCCACAAGAATACTGGAAGACAATCCTCCTCGGAAAACGAGGGATCGCCTAAGTAAGTAAGTTCTAAATATGTTGTTTTCATAGTTGTTTAGTTAGTCAAGAATAAAATGTTGTTGGAGCATCTCCAATACAGTCTACTTTCAAAATTACAAGAATTTACAAGATTTGCTCATGAATCTTTCTGCTATTCTGCTGTTTTTGGTTATCTCTGCAACAGTGTATATAGAGATACCTGTGCCAATTTAGCAACAATAGAAGACCACAGTCTAATGCACACTTTGTTCACAATTATGCTGAATGCAGCAAAATACTTACCAAAGGGATAATTTACTGCAGCGTGCATATGTATCACTTTTTTAAAAAAGCAATTGGCAAGAATCAGTAATCTCCCTGCTTCAGTACTTCTGTTGTTACAAACTCCAGGTAGATTAACCATTAGAGTACAACAATTTTCATTGGCAGTTATTTAAAATGATTTCCACAAAGTACTGCAGTGAAATAAGAAGAGGCTCTGTAAGTACAGTATATTCTGGCGTATAAGACTACTTTTTAACCCAAGAAAATCTTCGCAAAAGTCAGGGGTCGTCTTATACGCAGGTGTAGTCTTATGCATGGGAGTCGTCTTAACTCTATATTTTAACTGGAAAAGTTGGGGGTCGTCTTATACGCCCAGTCGTCTTATATGCCGGAATATACGGTAAATAAAAGACCATTGTGTCAGAACTGTATTGTGTTGGCACTGCAGGAATCATATACTGTTACTCAGGACAAAGTTCCTTGCAGGGTATTATTGAAGCACTCAGTCCTTTATCCCACAAACATCCGTGTTAAAAAAATACAGATGTTTGTGGGGGGCTGTCCACACCCATGCCAGAAAGTGTGTCCCACAGTTTACTGGGCCTTTTAGGCCTGGTAAATTGTGGGAATGGTGTCTGGACTGTAGTATTTTGGACCCAGAAGTACTGGATTTATCCCGCACCTTCCAAGAAGGCATGGAAAAAATCCCCTAACTAATTTGGCACAAACCAGGGGTTTCGTGGTTTGTGCCAAATTAATGCGGGACTGCCTAGAACGTCATCTGGACACCTTTTTATTGTGGAAGTTTCCGCTATAAAGGGGCTGCCTGGATGGGCCCTAGATCTCCTAGATGTTGTCCTGTCAAGTTCCTCTAAGACAGCGTTTCTCAACCTGGGGGTTGGGGGGGTCACGAGGGGGTCTTAGAGGGGTCACCAAAGACCATTAGAAAACACAGTATTTTTATTTATTCTGTTGGCCATGGAGGTTCTTTGTGGAAAGTTTGTCCCAATTCTATCATTGGTGATGTTCAGGTGAACTACAAATTCTAGCAACCACAACTCCCAAATGTCAAGGTCTATTTTCCCCAAACTCTACCAGTGTTCACGTTTGGGCAATTTGTGCCAAGTTTGGTCCAGATCCATCCTTGCTTGAGTCCACAGTGCTCTCTGGATGTAGGTGAACTACAACTCCCAAACTCAAAGCCAATGCCCACCAAACCATTCCAGTATTTTCTATTGTTCTGTGCGCCAAGATTGGTTCAATTCCATCATTGGTCGAGTTCAGAATGCTCTTTGGTTGTAGGTGAACTATAAATCCCAGCAACTACAACTCCCAAATGACAAATTTAATCCCTCAACCCCACCATTTGGGCGAATCAGGTATTTGTGTCAAATTTTGTCTAGTGAATGAAAATATATCCTGCATGCCGATTCATAACAGTAGCAAAATTCCAGTTATGAAGTAGCAATGAAAATAATGTTATGGTTGGGGGTCACCACCATATGAGGAACTCTATTAAGGGGTCGCGGTACTTGGAAGGTTGAGAACCACTGCTCTAAGAAGTTGAGAGTTAAATTCAGTCTACCAGTGGGGTAGGTCTATCCAGACAAAGAAAAGTATTTGAAACTCCCAGGCTTTGCCTAACTCTTGCTTCCAGACAATGATTTTGAGAGTTTAATTCAGCCTACAATTGGCCACTTATTACATGAGTGCACTGAATGTGGTTTCAGTTATATGAGAAGAGCTTTCAATGCTATAGATCTATGCTGCAGGAACTAGCCATGTTTAGAGAAGTCTTCTTTCCACGCCTGCAGCATAATTCTATGGTCAAGTTCCACAGAAAGTTCTGCCAGAAGTTGATCATGCAGTCATGCTGGAGGCCTAGTGAAAACATTTCTCTAGGCATCACTAGGTCCCACTGTGTGACTTTATGGCATGTTTCAGTGGGAAGCCTACAACAATGTTAATTTCAGATTAGAAAAATCGGGCTTCAGATTATATGCAAAAGTCATATTACATAAAGTTTTCTTACATAATACACTGTATGCTGAACTTTGAAGTGAAAAATCAACCCTGTTCTGACAAGGAAAGAGTATCTGAAAAAGATCTGAATGACTTTTCCCACATCCTGAAATATTCACAAGGAACACTTAGCATTTCCACTTAACTCACTGGTGTCCTTTCTGAACCACTTGCCATCATTTCTAAGAAATCTTGAAGAACTACTGAGGAGCCAAAGGACTGGAGAAGGGCAAACAATATACCTCTATTAACGAAAAATATTATCCAGGAAACTACAGACCAATCGGCCTAACCTCACTACCAGGAAAAAGATTAGAATGGATTATAAAAAGGTCTGTCTGCAATACACTATGTAACATGATTTTTGTTCCTGGGTTATAAAATGTCATGTTATAATTAGTTCTATCATTGAAACATGGAAAAAAAATATTAAACTGCAAAACCTTTGTTTTTGTGGGTCATACTGTAGCACATTTTGCTATCGTTTTTCAATTAATACCTCATAGAGTCTCAACCAATTCAACATAGTTTGTGGCAGCCACAAAAATAGTTTCTAGAATATAACAACTACTTTCAAAGTAAGTACCTCACAATTAAAAAGGAAATAAGACTTTCAAACCAAGAACATATTTATTTTTCAATTTTTTAAACATAATGTTATTAATTATATGCTATTTCATAGAAATAGGCACCTGGCACGGGACAAGTTCTATCTCCCAGAAACTTTTTTTTTTGCTGAGGGTGGTTCTTTACAGCCATTTAAATTGAGTCAAGAGGTGTATCAACAAGATCTTGTTGTTGTTCATTCATTCAGTCGTCTCCGACTCTTCGTGACCTCATGGACCAGCCCACGCCAGAGCTCCCTGTCGGCCGTCACAACCCCCAGCTCCTTCAAGGTCAGTCCAGTCACTTCAAGGATGCCATCCATCCATCTTGCCCTTGGTCGGCCCCTCTTCCTTTTGCCTTCCACTTTCCCCAGCATAATTGTCTTCTCTACGCTTTGCTGTCTCCTCATGATGTGGCCAAAGTACTTCAACTTTGTCTCTAGTATCCTTCCCTCCAATGAGCAGTCGGGCTTTATTTCCTGGAGGATGGACTGGTTGGATCTTCTCGCAGTCCAAGGCACTCTCGAACTTTCCTCCACAGCTCAAAAGCATCGATCTTCCTTCGCTCAGCCTTCCCTAAGGTCCAGCTCTCACATCCGTAGGTTACTACAGGGAATACCATGGCTTTGACTAGGCGGATCTTTGTTGCCAGTCTGATGTCTCTACTCTTTATTATTTTATCGAGACTGGACATTGCTCTCCTCCCAAGAAGTAAGCGTCTTCTGATTTCCTGGCCACAGTCTGCATCTGCAGTAATCTTTGCACCTAGAAATACAA